ATCAAGTACTGATTTTGCCCCAGATCCCTAAGTAGCCCCTTGATTATGGTGTGAGTACTGCAAGTGGATGTATTTATTTAGCTGCCCCTGGGGGATATTCTTTCTTATATGTGTATCTCAGTTGCTTTGGGTCAGAGTCTTGTTTCACAAAGTTCTTGTGACCTCTGGTCGGCTATTTATTATCTGTAACATATAGCTGGGAAGAGAGCACGGCTTATAGCCATAGCTACAGTCCATGGACTTAATGAGATATTGGCCAATTGGCCAATATTCCACAAACTGTAGTCCATATAAGAAGTGTGATTTAGTCAGTGTCCTCATCTCCGTTTCCATAGTATCTCTGTTTTTATCTAATACAGGCCAATAATTTCTCTGTATTTTACCAAGTCTCTTTTACACCTTTTATGTTTTGCCAGGTGTTCATTCACCTGGATATAACAAAAGACATGCAACTAATCTGAAGGCAGCATCCATTGTAGGCCTTCTGTCTTCATAGGATTTGCAATGTTCTTACTTGAAGATCTGTATGTACTTGAATCAAACGTTTATCCCTCATTGAGGTCTGATCGGGGAGAGCAGAAGTGAGGTCACTTCCAGCACTTTCTTGACTGCCATCCAGAGCTAATGCTCATTTTGGAAGTTTTGCAGTCCTTGTTCACCTACCATGTCTCAGCCCACCTTCCTAGTGGGTTGTACTGCTCGCTAATCTCTCTCAAATACGAATAAGCAGAGGCCACTTGAAGAAGGAAGAGAGGTTACTTTTAAGTAGCTCTTCTCTGAGAGTGTCATCTCTACACAGTCACACACCCCACTCACCTTCCCTGCTTCTTTGGAGTCTCAGGGAAAGAATTCTGACATTAGGGAAGGAACTGAAGGCTGTTGGGCACATTTCCCCTCTTCTTATCCTCAGAATCCTCCATGAGGCTTGGGGGAGGGTAAATGGGCTGCCAAGCTCCTGAAAGTGAAATTTCTAAAAAATCAATTGTTTTGGCTTTTTCTCCCCCACCTTTTTTTTTTTTTTTTTTTTTTTTTTTTTTTTTTTTTTTTTTTT